AAAAAACATCATTGAAGAAAATCAAAAAATAAATAATGAGCAGAAATGGTCATTCAAGTCACAAAAGAGCTGGGATATTACTGTATTTTAAAAAGTAATTATTTTGCATCAATATGAAAAAAATAATAATCCAGCAGAAAAATAAATCAACAAAGACAATGCCTATGAAAATTTAAAAAACAATAGAAAGAGATTTTGAACATATTAAAGGCAGTTCAACCTTGCTTATAATGAGAGAAACTTGACGTGAACACCACACTGAGATGCCAATTTCTTGCTGTATCAAATTGGCAATGATCCAGGCATTTGAGCTTAACATCAAAAGTTTGAGACTCAGAGAACCAGACACTACCCTATATTGCTGCTGGGAATGTAAACAGGTACAGACTCTACAGAGAGAGTGTGGACACTTACTACCAGAATTTCAAAGGCTCCTATCTTTGACCCAGCTGTTTCACTTCTAACACTGTATCCAACAGATTTATCTGCACATGTGTTAAATGAATTAATTGCAAGGACAATCACTGTGACATTATTTGTAACAGCAAGAAACCATAGGGCACGTTGAGTTACGAGAAATGAATCTATAGGAGCAAGGGGCAGTCTCCTCATGAATCTCTTTTTAAACTTGAACCCTTGGAAGTTGTTGAGCAGATCAAATGAGACCAAGGCCGAGTCTAGAATATGCCTGCTATCAGTCTGAGGTTGGGTTGGGTGTGTGGGGGAACCTCAGTGACAACTGCATTGTTATTTAAGGAGTTATGATGGAGCTACGAGGAGAAAGTCCCCGTGTGAGAGGCAGGGGCACCAGGAGCAGTGGAAGGGTAGGCTGCTAAGAGAGACAGGAACCAGCTTATGAAGGGCCTTTCTTATGCCAGGCTGTGAGTTTCAGACTTTATCCTAAAGGCAATGGGAACCTTTGGAGCAAGGCAGTGGCCTCATCAGATTTGCATCTCTAACAGACAGCTCCGTGGGCAATGTCAGAGAAGCAATTCCAGCGCAGCAAAGCCTGACCTAGAGAGACAGACCCCTGTACAAAATCAGCAATAGAGTCCCAAGAGGGAAGCTGTTCTCTCTGAGTGGTACCTTTATGAATCAGAATTCTAAAAATGAAAAGAGCTATAGAATTGCCTTAAAACTCAAAACCAAAAATTTTTTAAAAGTAAGCTCTAAAAAAGGGCGTCAGCCTTCCGAGTACGGAAGTTCAAGTTCTCTCTTCAGGTCAAGGCGGCCGCTGTTGCGTGCCGCACCAGTCCCCACTGGCCGCGTCTGTCCGGGCCTCTCCTGGAATGCGATCCCGTCCAAGCACTCACAAGCATTTTAATTAATCAATTTGGGTAAAAGCAAAGGACATATGTATCCTGTGTGCCCATCTCCCACAAGCCACAGGAGAAAGCAGAGCCTTTTAATTACATCCATCCCGTAGGCATAAATGAGCCTATATACAAACACTGAAGCAGGTTTTTTCCCTTTTAATGAGTAACTGGGTGCCAGTGAATGAATGTACCTGGGGTGCTTGTACAATAGCTTGATTTTTTCAATTCATTCATGTGCTTCTCAGCAGGGAAAATACCTAGGTTAGGTTAACACAGGAGTACTGCAGGTGTGAGAGAGGGTTAGCCTTGCTTCCAAAGAAAAAATGCAGTTGGGGATTCTGAAGTTCTGATAAAACAATAATGGCTACTGTGCTTATCAGTCTCCTCTTTCAAAGAGTAGATTATTAGGACACAGGTTTCATGAGAACTTTGGAATGGCATGTTATTACCGCAATTCAAGTTTCCCTCAAAGAAAGAAAACATACAATGTTAAAAATGTAATTTGTCACTTCAGAAATTGCCTGAACTCCATGGACGTAGCAATCACGGGCTGCTTCCACAGCCCACCACCCCTGACTTATACGGACACAGTGAGGCTCCTGGGCACATAACAAACATTGATATTTATTAAAGTTGACCTTATTTCAATGAGGTTTCCTCTTTTTCAGCTTTACTGAGATATAATTGATATATTATGTAAGGTACACAATGTGCTGATCTTATACATTTATATATTGCAAAATGGTTATCACACAAAGTTAGTTAACACCTCCATCACCACACACAGTTACTGTGTGTGTGTGCTTGTGTGCATCAGTGTGTGAGTGTGTGTGTGTGGGTGGGAACTTTTAAGATCTGCTTTCTCTGCAACTCTCAAGTGTATTATCTATCGTCACATACTATACTTGGATTCCAAGATCTTACCCATTGTATACCCACCTCCGCCCCTCAACCCCTTCTCCACTGAATTTTCAAAGCTATCCCCGCCCTGTTGTTACTTAGAAAAAGCTTAACAACATCTCCTTTAAAAAGTCTCTCTCCTTGCTTCCTCCAGAACATTTTCAAAACCATTCTCTTCCAGATTAGAATCATCGTTCAGCAAAATCATTACTGATGTCACATCTCTCTTTCTCGAGAAGTTACAAACACATGTTTGATCATATGTAATCATACTTAATAATTACCTCCTAGAGGAGTATAAACACCTAGAGGCCCCTGCAGCAAGACAGTTTTCACTCCAATGCCAGCTGGAGGTCAGAGGTCACGTCTAGCTCCTGTGTGAGAACCCTTACTCTTTACAAAGTCAGAGACTTAGGCAAAAATCAGAATCTTTCTCCTGTTTCAAACTCATTCAGAGTCCTCCCACTCTCCCATCCCGGGGAAATAGAGTCCTCATCCGAGGACATGCATTCAGTGCACGGTGACTGCACCATAACGCTCCGTGGACCCGGAGCTAATGCTTTTGCTCTAACTCCCCACTTTGCGTGGCATCTTCTGGTCCAGCTGCTGCTGTGCCCGCCCTGTATGCAAACTCACAGTTGTAGCATCTCTGCGTACATCGGAATCTCACTCTGAGAATAGCATGAGACAGAGGACTGGGGATGGGGCTGGGGTAGAGGGGCCTCCCCAGTGCTCCAAGGGCTGCTCTGGATGCAATTATTCCAAGGTGGGTGGAGCAATAACTCAGTTATGGGCTCTGCTGAGAAAGCCTAGTGAAAAGCTGCTGCTGTTCACAAAGCCTGGTGCTCCTTAAAGATGGGGCACTAGTGAACAAACTGAACTAACAAGGAAAACGGGGACAGACGCATAGATGGAGAGCAGGATGACAGCTGGTGGGGGGCGAGCTGGAGGGGTGGAGGGATTGAGCAAAAACAAAAATGGTCTCATGGACACCAGTGTGGTGATTGCTGGGGGGAGTGGGATATAAGGGAACTAAAAGGTAATGTTAAAAAAATACAATATCAATTAAATTTTAAAAATAAAATAATAAAAAGAAATAAAAATTGGACTCTCTTTGCTTCTCAGATAGTACCGTACCTTTCTTATGAAAAAAAAATGATCTATCCTAAATGGTTTCTCATGGGCTTCGCTCATAAGTACTTACAACCCTGAAAATATTTTGATGTTGGACATTAGTTGAGCTTGGCTGGAGATGTAGTAAAACTAAAATGTGCTTTCCTTACTCTAGTACTATAAAATAGCTACTATAAATAGTGTTTTACATGAATAATACACTACATTTAAAAAGCAGATTATATGATGTATTTCTAGTTGCATGCTTACAATATGCATGCACAGAGGGGGAAAAACATAGGGCATATGCCAAATTGCTTATAATGTTATTCTAGAAAGAGAGGGATTATGGATACATTTCTTGCCTTCATTTTTCTTTTCTATATTTCACAAATGTTTGATATTAAACATATATTTTGGGAAAAGGAAAGTGTTTTAAGATTGGCTCCCAAGAGCTTTGACAGTTGAAAACCAGGTGATCTATTGAATGCATATGAAAAAAGTCTAGGCCATGCTACCTCATGTGGTAGCCACAGTCTTGAGTGGATATTAAAATTTTATTTAAATTAATTAAAAACAAATCAACTTATTAGCAATTTAATTCTTTATTCACACTAGCTACATTTCAGGTTTCAATAGCCATGTTTACATTGTCATAGGAAGTTCTATTTGACAATCCTTGTAGGGATAAGTTGCCTAACTATGTCCTGGATACTGAGAGCACTATCCAGGACATAATGTGGCCTAGGAATGGCCACATACTCCTCACTGTAGACACTGACAGACTCCTCAACACCAGTCCCTTTCATACACTTCTCTGCTCCGTGGCCCACTGAGCTCAGAGATTTGACCCACAGCTGTTTAGCTGGGTACTCACAGAGCAAGGACCAGAACCCAAGGCATGTCTCTGGCCTCCAGATCACTATTTCCACCTTCTCCAGAAAACTGAAGTTTCCCAAGAGATACTGCAGTTCACTACAGCTTCATGCGCTACAACATCAGAGACATATTTTGAGAGCTCACAGTGTGCTAGGCATCATAATAAACCTCAAATATACAAGACCAAGTAAGATAAGTGTCCCTGTCCCCAAGGGTGTCAAAGAGCAAAAGCAGAAGGGCATGTAAGCTAGAGTGATGGTACAATGTCCTATCCTATCCTATCCTAGAGCGGATAGGTCCGCTCTTCTCAGGAAATTCAGAAATGCTTCAGATTCACAGATATGCTGGAGTTTTGGTCTTGACATTTGTGCATCCAAAGCCGCAAATTAGCATTTCTCCACTATTATCTATTTGCCCTGCACTCCAGAAGAGGTTAGGCTCCATCTTTGAAATGTCATTGATCCCCAAACTGATATTAGTTTGGGCTTTTTAAAAAAGATCATTATTAATTTCATGTAGCAGAGATATATTCAATTCTCTCATTCTCTTAGCTTGCACTGATTTTCTCATTTTCAGGAAAGCTTCTATACATGTCAAATAATTTTAAATCTTCAAATGAAACAAAATACTTCTTTAACATTTTGTCATTTGTTCCATTTTAGACCATATAAAAGCAAAAAAAAATTGAATGAATGCATATTTTTCAACCAGTCGTGGTAGAACTGTTTAAACATGCATTAAGAACCCGGAGCTCCTAGTTCTCAAATAAATCATGTCTCTGCATTTCCACAGACGCAATGCTCTTGGTGGCAGAACGACTGGAAGGACCTTTCAACATTGAGTCGGTCATGGACCCTATCGATGTCAAAATCTCCGAAGCCATTATGAACATGCAAGAAAACAGCATGCAGGTGTCTGCAAAGGTATTTGCCTTCGTCATATGTCTACTAATAGGGAACGTGCAGTCATCTAAAAATGAAGTAACTAGATATGTCGGCTGGGATTATAAATTCTCATACGTTGCCAGTAAGCCTTGCCTGTCAAGCTACAGATTTGCTGCTTCATTAAAAGTGTCTAACAAAATGGCATTGAGAGAGGAAGCGATGTTTTAGTTCACAACTACTCAATCATGGAGAAATGATTGGCTGCTAAAAAGTTTCAGAAAGCCTCAAGTATATCAACTAATCCCTCACATTTGTGAGCAATCGAGAGGGATGGGGGAGGGCCTTTTCCATGTTTAAAATGTCTGTACAGTCTTACCCTGTTCTCTGGAGGAACTTCTAGTTATACCTTCAGCTGTGCAAACCAGGCCAATGTTCTATATGTTCCATTGTAAATAATTAAACATTTCTTTTCTAAGACTATGGTGTAACCTTTACTAATGTCTCTTCAGGGGAAAATGCTCCTTTGTATGAAGTCAAGCACACGTGAAAAGAAAAAAAGTAGTTCGTTTTCATAAATCACGGGACAGAGCTATGGGGTTTGCAGCTGCAGAGCGCAAAGCCCAGGTGCACGGTTTGCACTTGTCCCCGCCCGTCTGACGGAAAACAGGGCCCACCTTAAGCAAAATTGAGACATTTGCAGTGGGTCCCAGCCTTTCCCTCCTCACCCATTCTCACCCACATGGATGGCTGCATAATGCCCATCTGTTCTTTTTGCCAGTCCCCTTTGTCAGGAAACGTGAACCAAATCTGTATCCGTCTTCCAGACTCGGTGACTGAGTAATTGCATTTTTACAGAAAGTGCATTCCCACAGGTATATGTCAGGCAAGGAGTTGTGCATAGCTCCCTTTGGTTTTTTAAATCCTTTATGAAAGAGATTTCAAATGTGATCCAGGGGGAGGCAAGGGGTGGGGAGAGACTGCAGCTAGGTCTTTTGGCTGAGTATGAATCAAACCAGATCTGGGCTTTTCAGGGGGAACTAGTAGAATGTAGGGTAGGAGGCATCTGGCTGGGCCTCTTTGTCTCTCTCCTCGGCAGATGGATGGGCTGAGAGTTTCACTGGCCTAGGTCTGGGTTCAAGGAACTCAGGATACCCTGCGTACAGAAGGATGCTTCCAACTGCCATCACCCACTGGGGAAATAGCACGTTTGGTGATTTTATGGCAAGCTGTTTCCTGCCTTTCCTGCAAAAAAATAGCAGCCATCTCTTCCTGTCAAATCTCTTGCCTGCAAATGAGTTAATGTTGTTTGAAAGTCCAAATATCCCAGAGGTGCTTGAATAACCCCACGCTAAGGTTGCTGATGTTCACAACTGCTCTAGAGAAAAGAAAAAAAAAGCTCATGGACACAACAGCCTGCACCCCGAGAGCACATCACATTTCTTGGAAGCAGAGGCTTACACTGGCGTGTGCGTATCTGTGTTCAAGTCCAGTTGTTCTGTGAAAAGTTCTTTAAGAGGTTACACAGACCCTCTGTATCACCAGAATATGGATGGCACATTTTTTGTGGAGTTTGCCCGACTTCATTGTAACAGTATGACTATTATAGTATTATAGTAATTAATGAGGACTGTGCTTTTAAAAAGACACAGTAAGAGGAGAGAGGTGGGACAAATGGTAATGGAAAAAATATAATTAAAAAGAATGTAAAAATATAAATAAGTAAATACACATTTCTTTGTCAGAACTGTCAAAATCAAGAGTATAACTAATATAGAACGTGTAAGGGAACAAGAGGATACAGTAGGAGGATCCTAACATAGTAATACAAAAAGTGTCAAATGAGCTAGAAATATTTTTTAAAGTGGATCTGGTAGTCTTGACATCGAGAAAAGGGGATGGGGTGAGTTAGGGAAGGCAGAGAGAGGAGCCAGGCCGGACTCGGTGGAAACAGGATGGGGCAGGAGACAGGGTCTGATCGGGAAGAGGGTGTGCAAAGAGTACTAATGCCAGCCTTTAATGGAGTGGACAGGTAAAAATGTGGCTAGAATTTGGCCACTTTTACCAGGAAAATACCAAGAGAATTTGCTGACGGAATGGACATGTTCTGGAAGAGGTCTGATTTCTTCAAGGGAATAGAATTTGGAAGTATGTAGTTCTGTTTTCCCTATAAACCACCTCCATGAAATTATGCAGGCACTTAGGCTGAAATCTACATTCTAGCTAAGCACTGCACAGTTGAACTTTTCCTCTTTCAATGGAACCCTCAGTCACTGTTGATGAACAGTTTCATGAGATGTAAAGTTCTGGGTTTCCAGACTTCCACTGAGGTATTTGCATAAGCAGAGGCTTGGTTAATATCTAATAAGTGAGCTTCCATTGAGACCAGGAACTATTTGCTAATTGTGGGCCAGACATCCTGAGAGCTGTAAACCTGACAAATTAAAAAGACTTTTTACTCCAGGATATGATCGACAACTTCTCTTTGGAAAATTGCTTGCCTTATTACAGCAGTTGTGGGTAGAAGTGATGCCCAGAGCCATTTTCAGAGAAGCAAGTGCTTACAACTGCCAGCTCATACTCATTGAGTGCTTTCTGCCAGGGACCATGCTGTGCTTTGTGTGGTTTCTTTTATGTGATATAACAATGCTTGTGATGAGACAGATCTTCCCCCTTATTTTCCAGAGAGAAGGAAACCAAAGCTTAGAAAAGTTAAGAAATTTACAACGGTTTCACGGCACATGAAAAGTACATAGAGAGGTGTCTGGCTGCAGAACCGACATTCTTTCTCTCTGCATCCTAAGAATGTGGGTTCCAACAAAACCAGTCTCACACAAGGGCAGGGTTCAGTGGGTATTTGATGAATAGATGGAGTATGAAGAGAAAGGTCATGCAGAAGGTAAGGAAAGAGAGGTGGTAAAGCCAAGACTCCAGTTGTCTGTCTTTCTGTCTGATTCCCTTTACAACTCTACCTACGACTTCACACCATGCTGATTGCTAGGGAAACATTTCTCTTATACAGATCTTCATTCATTGCTTGCAATCTTTCCTAGAATATTTATAGTATAATATATACAAATGTACTTTTTCTCCCTTCTTGGACCTGAAGGCAAAAGATGAGCATGCCACAGTGTGAGATAGGGAATCCCCTTCCTCTAAAGCACTGATGCTCATCAGATCTAATAGTAGCTCTATTTTATGTAGAAAGCACACCTTTTGTCTTTCACCACGGAGATCATGAATCGGTGATATTGACAGACTAATAAAAAGACCCACTGCCAGCCCGTAGGTTCCTGCTCCACTATTGTCTTAGACCTGTTTTTATGGGTATTGTCATATCTTTCCCCCTCTCCTATTTAGCCCATAGTTAAGCTGTTAGGAATAGGGCACACTGAAATTTCTTTTAAAAAATACATTGGTTAAGCAGTCTTGATAACCAAGTTTAATAGGTTTGATAATAGCATTCCAGCACTCATTTCAAATTCTTGATTTGTATATCCTTTATACAATATGATATTATATATGCGTGACGCATGCACTGGCTTGCAGTGACCATGACATTATGGATGGAAATCAAGACAAATTCACATGGACTACGGAGTCCTGTGGAGAAAAAGGGGCCGGCCACTCTCTCTAGAGGAGAGCACTGTGCACCCTTGCCTAGACAGGCTTTTATTGGGTTTTCTACGCAGAAGTTCAGGTACAATTTATTAATCATTGTCAGGCAGTAAGAATCAAACAGAAGATAACATAAAAAGAACTATTAGGGCTTCTTCTGAGTCAGGGTCTATCAGCTAAAAGGCTACAAAACTTTGGGAAACAAACTCGTTTCCTACTCAGGCCTTTATCATTTAACTAAGAGCATTCTTAGCAAAGCAGGCTTCACAGGATTTTACATATCCTTTCTCAGGCCTGATCACCTGGGGAGCCCACCCTTTCCAGCACAGGGCTGCACCACCCATTGTCATTGTTTCAGGCTTAAGTCGGCAGGGGAGGCAGAGAGCCAAAGAATTCTTGGAGACTTCTCAAAGACAGACTGAGGACTCCGGCTTCCTCAAAGCCAAGGGGCAAAGTTCCATCACTCCTTTTCTCTCTACCCACCAAGTCCTTCCCTGGGGCCTCCATGTGATATGCCTGTCTTAGGTGATTCCCCCCTTGGGGAATCTTACTTGTCATTGGCTAACTGATCAAGCATTGAGGGCCAGTTATGGGAAAAGGAGCAGAAACTGTGCTCCTGCCAGGGAGATAAGTTTTGTCTCCTTAGTGGTTTATGGTCTGAAGGTCGCTCACTCAGCCTTAGCCATGAGGGTTTTACAGCTCCTGAAACCAGGCAGGGCAGTTCCCAACATATGTATATGTTGGGATACGCACTATATACAAAATCGTATAATGTAATATATACATACATGTTGAAAGACTGCAGAGAATAGCATATTAAAACTTTTGTTGGCTCTTTTGAGACAATCACCAGCTAACAATGATAGGCATCATGCCTAACATTAGTTGAGCACCTACTATATTCATTCAACGACTATTCCATCATTTACCAAGCATGGGAAATACACTAGAGGACAAAACAGATTCTCAGCCCTCTTGTCATTCTTTTGCTACATGCCTTACATATTTATTTTAAATGCTCACTGCAGTCTTGTAAAGCATTCACTTCCTGGTTTTATAGGCAAAGAATGTTAAATTTAAAGAGATTAAGTAGTTTGTCTGAAGTGCTGAAACTGACAAGCAGCTGATCAGGGATTGCAGCTCAGAACTGTCTGGTCCAAAGAAAAAAATTTTCTCCTCAGTAAGTGTCTTCCCACCAGGACCAGGTATACTTTACCATTAAAGGGACCAGTCATCTAACAGAGGATTGTTGCCTAAAACATACTACAGGGAACCTACAGATAAGAAACACAAGCTGCTAGTTCTTCAAACCCCAAGTAAGTTTGTTACATTCACCAACTTCATTCATGGGACAGGAACACACCCTCATTATTCCACCACTTCTTTTACCCACCCAAATCGAAGAACGTCACAGATGTTTGGAA